TCTATCTATCTATCTATCTATCTATCTATCTATCTATCTATCTATCTATTGGCTATTTTGTTGTTCAGTCATTTTTCAGTGATGTCCAAATCTTTGTGACCTCATTTGGTATTTTCTTGGCAAAAATATTGGAGTAATTTGTCATTTCCTTCTCCAGATCATTTTACTGATGAGGAAACTGAGGCAAAGAAAGTTAAGTGACTTGCATAGGGTCACAAGGCTATTAAGTGTCTGAGGCTAGATTTGAACTCCAGTAAGATGAGTCTTTCTGACTCCAGGCAGGGCATTCTATCCACTGCATCACCTAGATGCCCTATCTCTCTATCTTGTCATTTATTAGTTGATTGATACATCTATCTATTTGGAGAGTGGGAGTGTACTTTACTAACTGTTTCATTATGTTTATTCTATTGTTTTTTTTTCTTTTTGAAGCATGGAAGTGTTAATAGTGTTTTATTTTTCTTGATCACATTCAACATTGTTGGTCTTTATTCATTGTCAAGTTTATTACTATATGAAGCTCTATGCACTGCTAGGTGATGTTTTCTTTTGCAAAAAATTCCTCAGGCACTGTTAGGTGGTGCAGTGGATAGAGCACCAGCCCTGGAGTTCATAATCCAGCTTCAAACACTTGACACTTACTAGTTGTATGACCCTTGGCAAGTCACTTAACCCTGATTGCTTCACACACAAAAAAAGCAAAGAATTCCTCGATATCATGATGCTACCTTCTTCATGCACATGTGCAGCAATTCCATACTTTTCAATTTGGTTAGGTAAGTTTTTATGTTTTAATAATAATGGGAGTGAGGACAAATTTGATATTATTTTTAAAATTATTGAAAAAAATCTATGACATGTTTGACCAAGAAGGATCTAAGTAGGTTGATCCCCTATAAGGGCCCACCTGGTTAAATGAAGACATTTAAAGGTTAAGTGACTTCCTATTTTTCTGAAGTTCCATACATGGTACCTACATTGTGAGAAGAACTATATCACTATGATACCAGAATGCATTTACACAGATAAATATGCATACACGTAGATGTACATATCATTTGTATATCATTTTGATATATAAGTGACCCCAACAGAACATTATGTATCTGTATATATTAATGTTCAATGGGCAAAAGATGTATAAAATGGACAAGCATAAATGGGTGATAATTCACATCTTTCTAGAGAATACACACATTGCTCAGATCACTCTTTGGATATTGGTGCATTGATGATAGATATTAAGACAAACTTCCCTAAGGTCTTTAGGAACCCTACTAAAGACAAAAATGCATCTGGCATCATTTGCAAAGAGAAAGGTCATTGGAATGTCACTTACTGCCAGGCCACAGTTAAACCATGGATAAATAGGTCTAACTTAAAGGCTGCCTTTTTGAACTAGTCCATCAAAGACCATCGCATGGAACATGATCAGAGTTGCCCTTTCTGGAGATTTGGAGCTTAGTTTTGACAATATGGTGACCTTGTGATGAAAGGATTTGTTCTGTTGGTATGATACAGCGAACTCTTAATAGTCCTTTGGTCCTTCCCCCATCCCCACCCCAGGACAACAGTGGAGAAGCAAGGTTCTGTGTCAGCTAGAAGAAGAGACAGCTTCTGACCATCTGTTTTGATTCTTCCATGTGGCAAATATCATCTGTTCCTACACTCCTGATGTGGAAAGGTGGAATGGACAAGGTCTGCTCTCATGTGGACCATGGGCTCAACTAGATGAGCTTGTGTCAGGGTCCCTGTTTGTCTTTTCTGTTCTGTATTTCCTTTCCTGAACTGGTGAACAAACATTGACCTTGAAGTGAACATGTCAAGGCTTTAAGGCTACCTTGTATGTTTGAGAGATATTGAAGTCCTTGGTCCAATGACTGAGCACATCTGGTGGCAAGGGAAATTTCTACATCCCTGAGATGTCCGTGAACAAGAGGATTAGCATAAGGTTATCCATTTATGGAAAGACATAAATTGAGATTTGTATGAACATAGAACAAATATTAAGTGCCTAATCAGCACCAACTACTTTATATTCTGATGAAGTTGAAGTATCAGCCTTCTGACAGGATAGAATTGTAGTTATAAGTTGTTACTGTTTAGGAGAAATTATGAGAATTTTTTAGCATTTTATTTGTATAGGAAATAAATACCTATCTACTATGAGAATCATGTTGGACATTGTGTATCTTTCTACCCTCGTCCTCTTTATAGTGTCCCTAGAATGATACTGGACTTGAAATTTGGACGACTTAAAATACTTTGTTGTGTGGTCAGCTTGATAAGTCACTTAATTCCTCTCAGGTTTAGTTTACTCATCTGTAAATGGGGATTATGATAGTACTTTTGTGCTATATTTTTACTATTTTGTGCTATTTTTGTCCCAGTTTTGTTTGGAGGGTCAAATGAGATAAGATATATAAAGATATACCTCAAAATATCTAAATGTTAATTGATGATGTTAAGGATGAGAAAACCTAGGTGCTAGTCTAAACTTAAGCTAAATGAATCATCCCTGAGTTGCTGGTATAAAGATCTAAGGAGCCAAAGAGTGTAATAAAAGGAAACCTACCTCCACTACCATTAAAGTTCACATTCCCTAGACTAAACCTAGTCCAGACCACTCTACGTGGCCTAGTGTAGAGGGGCACCTAAAGTAGTAAAGATGCAGTTTCCCGATCCCTGGGGGCTCTACAGGGACTCCACAATAATAGATAGTATTTAATTTATATTAAAATATTTCATAGTCATTTTCTACTAATTTTCCCCTTCCTTCTAATTAATGTAAAATAAGTCACTCAGGCGACTCATTCCATCAGAAATGCTATTACTAAATTATCAGCATCCTTAGAATGAAATCACATTTTATTGCATTTTAAATACATTACACTTATGGACTTTTTCTTTCACTGGAAAAAAATTCTCTCAGTTCACTAATAGCATTCATTTCTCTGTGTGCTCCATAAAGATGTTTTTTTTAATAACTCTGCATTCAGTTTTTTTTCCTTATGACCTGGTAAAAGATGTATTTTTAAAAAAAATCTTTAAAGCAAAAAAGCTCCCTGTTTTTACCCAAGAGTTTCTTGACTGTTCCATTTAACTTATAATAGCATTCATTCTGCTATATCATGTGTCCTGGGAATAATTCCAGGGTCACCAAGCCCTGTGCTTTCCTTTTTCTTTTTGAAAGCAACTTTATTTACTTATGAGATCCTCAAAGGGCACAAATGACAATGGGAGCCCTTTACTTCACCCATCACTCTTCTGCATACTGATGAGCCCCTCATAAAATATTAACTTAGTTTGTGTCTTGGGTAAAATATAGTGTAGTAGTGTGACAGTGATCTGTATAATCCACTCAAGGTTTCTATTTTATGCTTGAAAAGGTGCAAGGATAGTGGTTTCCAACACTTCCCCTCACAAAGCTAATGGGAAAATGGACCTAATTCATAGATTGATATACCAAGTAGTGGGTTAATGATTAAAATATTTATTCTGTGGTACTCTACTAGCTTTATTTTCTCCCTTCCTTTTTCCTTCCTTCTTTCCTTCCTTTTTTCCTTCCTTCTCTCTTTCTTTCCATACAGATCAAAGATCAACAGAGACAGGTCCCACTTGAAAAACTGATAATATTTTAATACTGAGGATTTAGCAATGCTCTGTGCATCTGAGGTAAGAACACAAAAACTGATTGATTCCTGAAAAATAGCTATTCTGGAAACTAGTGTCCAATAAAATATTATCTCAAAGTAGAAAATGAATGTATATATTGGCTATTCCTCATGGAGTAGAATAATTGAATCTACATCTTAGAATGTTCACTTTCCTTAAACTTATAGCTAGTTGGTGGTGAAGTGAATGAGGGAATCACATTATGAACTAGGGGGAACAAAACTAAGAAAAACACATGTGAAGCTATACACATGATAATGAAAACATGTTTCCTCAGTCATTGATTTTTGGAAGAGTCTACAGCAGGTTTCCGTTCCAGAAGCATCACATGTTTTAAATAAAAGAGGCTATTTTCCTTCTTCCGTTGTACTTTTTTTTATTGTTTGTACTTAGTGCACCTGGGCTATCAAAGCACATTTATAGACATGATATAAATATGTAGACAGAAAAACATCATATGTTTGTGAATTTCTACTGGATAATCTTACAAAAACCTTTTTACTTCAACTAGAATGATTTTCTTGAGTCCAGCTCTAATGTTAAAACATCTAGTTTAGTTGTTATTGTTTTGTTTTGCTTCGCTTTGTTTTTAATGTAAGTACCAATATAATGAGTGACTTTTTTTTTTTACTTTAAGAGTTATGGAATCTGTGATTTCATCCTGGTATTAACTCTCTTGACAAAAATGGATCTCAGCCCTTACAAACTTTGAAAGATAATCTTCAAAAAATCGTTGTGGTTTAAGAAAATCATCACTTAATTATGAGCTTCCCTAAAAAAAAAATAGGTAAGAACTAGGTGTGGTGGTACATGCCCAAAATCCCTGCTACTCGGAGAGACTGAGGCTGGTGGATAGCTGGAACTCTGAAGTTCTCAGCTCCACTAGGTCCTGTAAGCCCCTGGTAGGGGGATGAGGCACCAGGATGTCTAAGAAAAGGAGAACCTACTGGGGGATAATAGAGTAGGTCAAAGATTCCACTACAGTCAGGGCCTGTGAATGACTGTTGCACTTCCAGCCTGGGTAGATGCAAAGATTCAGTCTCAGCAAACCAACCAACAAAACTAAAAGACTTAGTTAGGTTATTCTTTGGACAAAAAAAATACAACAATCATCACCAATCTATTGCTGAGCCCATGCTATTAAGTCTTTCTAGATTATTGAAATGGGCCAAGCTTGTACTTAATCAGCATTGGCTTGGATGAATATGGATGAATATCCTTTATTTTTATTTTTAAAAAGTTTATTTTAGTATTACCTGCCTTTCCAGGCTTAAACTAATTCAGTTGGTTGTCATAGTTCTGTAGAAGGGGAAATCCCACTGTGATGTGAAGCAGTTCTCAAATTGGTAGCTCCAGTTATTCTGAAAAAAAAAAAAAAGGAAGTATAGCCCCCAAAATCACTATAGTGCACATTCCCTAAGCCTCAGTGAAATCACTACTAGGTACTACTCAGGTCAGAAACAAGGGTGGGCTTCCATATGTGCAAAACTATTTTTTGCAGCATAGTTTGTGTCTTCTGATAGCAAAGTACTAGAAATAAAATGGATTGTCGTTATTTTGAAGACAGATGAACAAGCTATCGCATATGAAAACAATGGGTTATTGTTTTGTTTTAAGAAATGACAAATATGAAGAATGCAGAGAAACTTGGGAAGACTTCTGTAAACAGATACAGAGTGAAGTGAGAAGAACCAGGAGAACAATTTACACAATAACCACAATAATGTCAAAGAAAATAACTCCAGAGGACTTCAGAATTCTAATCAATGCAGTGATCAATCTTAACTTCAAAAGACTGATGATAAGGGAGGTGTCTCATCTCTCAACAGATGACAGTCCTGAGGTACAGGAAAAATACTTTTTTCAGACATAGCTAATGGATTAATTTTTTATTTTTTTATTTTTGATTACACTAAATTATTGTAAAGGAGAACTTCTATTTGATGGGATGGGAAGCAAGTTAGCAGACAGCAATAAACATTCAGAAAAAAATGAAATACAAAAACATCAATAAAGCAAAAAATGTTCGAATAAGAATGCAAAAGGAAGTTCAAAAGGGGATATAAAATGGGCAATTTTGTTCTTCTTTGGTAACTTTAATATAAATTAAAAAAAAACAAATGGTATGCAAGAGAATTTCATCGTTTCATATATAAAATCTTTGTTGTTAGTCTTGGTATGTTGAAATGTTTGTATTTGTGAAATTGTTAAATTTGTTAAATTGTTTAAGTTAAAATAAAGAAAAAATGTTTAAAAGACCTAACAAAATATAATTCTTTACTCAACCGTATGGTCAACATAGAGTTTGACAGAAAATTCATCCCTTGATTCTTTGAAAAGGAGCAGGAGGAAAGGAAAGCTTTTTAGTATTTTCATAACCTCCCCCCCTTCTCTCTCTCTCTCTCTCTATATGTATATGTATACACACATATACACTTATATGTGTATATATACATACATATCTATACATATACATATACATACACACAAACATGTGTGTGTGTATACACATATAATTGGGCACACTAAGATAAGATGTAATTGGGCAGAGTTAGATTTACAGGTAGAAAAAGGAGAAGGTAGATAGAAAAGACCATTTATTTCTTGGAAAATAGGATTTCAGGGATGACAATAAGACCCTCTCTTCTCCCTGGAATGCAAACTTTTTCTATCATCAAATCCTAAACTTAAATTCTGCTATTTTAAAGATTCTTCTTTTGGTTTAAAGTCCACATCCAGTAGTAGGGCACATATCCCTGAAAGATATAATACTTTAAAATTTATTTACTTCTGAATGAATGAATTTACCAGGTTGTTTATTTGTTTGTTTTGCAGGTAAAAGTGGATATTGTTTTTCCAAGAACAGATTTTGATAGATGGAAAGATGGTGATTCTGGGGACTTTGACTTGTGACTAACTCCTGGGACAGTAGAAAATGAAGTCTATAAAAGAGTCTGAAGGCTCAACAGCAAACTTGATGAGACACACACACACATATACATGCACATACACACGTACATGTATATACATATACACCCCTATACACATACACATGTATATATATACACAGATATACATTTATACACATGTGTATGCATGTACATATACATATATACAATCATAATATATATGTGTGTGTGTGTTTGTCCAGAAGATACCACTGATGAAAGGATTGAGTAAAAAAAATAAAGACACTGAAGGATGAAAACAAACTTTATCTACTTCCCAGATTTGCCTAGAGGACACCAAGGCTCAATTTTCCTGGCAATAGAAAAGAGAATTAGTTGGATGTGTACTTCTTTCATATAGAATTTCAAGTGCAGTCTGCTTCAAGTTGAATAAAGTAAAGGAAGCTGGAGCATCACCTGGAGTTCCATCAAAGAGAAAAGCCCCTTCCAGGCCTCTGAATTCTCTACTTTCTCTATAATGCATCCATTTCAGTCACTAAGTCTTAAATATTGCTGTTGCTACCACCCATAAGGGTGCCCTTCCACCAGGTCCAGATGTTTTTAGGTTGTTTGTTTGCTTTATTTTGTTTTTCTTCAAGATTAGGCATCTCCTTTTAAAAGTGACTATGCTTTACTTTGGCATTTATCTTAGATGAATTGATTTATTCAACCAGGAAAGTAATTTAAATTTCTTGATTGAGCATTCTCTCAGTGTCAAGAGCAGATTAAGGGAGCTTAATGTTCTTGAGGAAATACATGGAAGCAATCTTTATCTGCGACTTTGATCGCATTTCCACAGGAGGGATGTAGGCAGGTCCACTGGCACCTTGCAGAGAGAGTTGAACACAGCTCCCGAGACTACTTCTTTATTTGAACTTATTTGCCAAAAGAAAGATCTCTAAAATAGTAGAATTTAGGTTATGGATTTGATGACAGAAAAGGTGTTTGAGTCCCAGGGAGAAGAAAGGGTCTTATTGTCATTCTTGACATGCTATCATCCAAGAAATGGTCTCTTCTGCCTGTAAGGTCAGCTCTGTATGATCACACCTTATTCTAGTATGTCCAATGATTTACTAGGTACGTATTTATTCACTCTATAGGGAAATACAAATACCCCAAAAGATCACCTCTCATCACCTTAATAAATGTGATCAAGCTGACCTGACCAGCTTCACAATGACTATAACCATCATTGGAGGTCCCCTTAATTTCTTTCTCTGATGTCTATTCTGCTAGACAACTTTAAGGAAATACCAGGTTCGGCAAATCCTATAATGAATCATGAGAATATTTTAAGTCCCCATTCCTGTCTTAAATTTGTGTAAACAGCTTCCTGTTCACCTGAAAATTGTTTAGAGCATGAATCTGGAGTTTATCATTGTTAAGTTTGTCGGTTCTCACCTGGCCCTGGACATACGTTCTTTAAATAAAAATGTTAATTACATGAATTTTGCTGGGCGACTGGTATTTAAGAAAATGTCCTCTTTACAGTATTACTATTTTCAGGGCTCTGTAAATGTATCTAAATAGTCTTGACAAATTGAATTTCCTCAGATGGTTTAAAGACCAGAATGTGACTGTCAGTTTACTTGTTACATGTCACCACTTTCTTGGCAGAAAGGTACAGTTTCACAGCTGGAACATCTGCGTTGACCCCAGTAGCTAAAAGGAAAGATGACGCTTCTGTTAAAGTCTACATTAGCTAAAGTCACACTCGTTAATTTTTTCCGAAAAGTACTGTAAAAATTTGTAAGTGGAAGGTCACTGAAGACAGAAGATAGGGATGGCCTTAATGAGAATGAAAGTGCTTTGTAATGAAAGTTGCCGAATAGCCATTTAGATCTGAAGAGATAATAGAGAGTTTGTGCATATTTATGTAATAATAAAACAGACATATGTATAAACATAAATATATGCAATGGTATGCTAGACTTAGCTCTTAATAGTTCATAAGACCCCAGTGTTAAATTTTTAGTGTGAACCCTCAGAATTGTGATACCTCAGAAATTATCAAATGCTGCAAAGTAAGGTTTGAGTTATTGCTTTATTGATCATCTGTATGTAAGAAATTGGTGGACATAGTGTTAATAATGCAGATTGAACTTAAAAATGTGTCATGGATGCTTTTTTTCAGTCAGTTGCTAAATATTTACCAGCATGCTACTATATATGAATATATATATATGATATATGTTTGTGAATAATATATGTATGTGTGTATAATACTTCTATATATATATGTATGTCCAGTTTACTCTCTCTTTACCATCTTTCATCAGCTGACATATGTATGCATATATTTCTGTATGTATATATGTGTGTATATGTGTACATATATAGATATAGGTATATATGGATGTGTTTACATTTACATATACATATTTTGTCATTGTTATTATTGTTCACTTATTTTAGTCATGTCCAACTCTTTGTGACTCCATTTAGGGTTTTCTTGGCAAATATACTGGAGTGGTTTGCCATTTCTTTCTCCAGTTCATTTTACAGAAGAGGAAACTAAGGTAAACAGGGTTAAATGACTTGCCCAGGGTCACACAGCTAGTAAGTATCTGAGGTCAAATTTGAACTCTGTGCCGCCTTGCTTCCTTATGTCAAATGAATGGTTTGGACTAAATAGCCCCTAAGGTCACCTTGAGCTCTAAGTTAGAGAGGTCATCCAATTTCCTTCAATGGAGGGAGTTTTTACATAAGTAGTTTCCCACACCAAGATAATAATTGGCCTGAATACACACACACACACACACACATATGTATATAAACGTATATACATATGAACATATATGCATTGTATATTCAGTATACTCATACTCCATTACATGATTATATACATTATGTACATTAGCTGAAGGATGGGAGGAAGAAGGTAAATGGGACTTGTATCAACCCACAGTTCATGAATTGGCTGTTATTTCTATGGAACCTTGATATGATCTGTTATCATACTGCTAGGCTTCCATCTCTGTGATGAAATAGAATCTTTAACCAAGGACATTGCTATAGATCATAAGGAGGAACAGAAGCAGATTTCCAGGTGCTGCATTTGACCTATCATTGTCAGTAGGATAAATGAAAGAGGTGATGATGAAAAAAGGTTTAAATGGATTTTCAGAACATGAGAAACTGATAAAATTCCACTAAATACTATTTGTTCTAAATTGTGGGAGGCTAAGGGACTACCTGTTGTTGATTCATGAACATTTGTAGATACCTAGATTCTCTTCTCTGCATGTAAAGCCTAAAGGACTTCCTAAGGAAACAGGGATTCCCTACTTATACAAGGTAGAAAGTGTGCCTGTGAGCAAGGAGGAGGTGTAGGAGATTTCCTCTAGGAAATGTTTCCTCTAGGAAACAAGTAAAGTTGGCAATAACAATGAAATTTCTTCCCAATGGAACAA